AACCCCACAAATCAATCAAGGGGACAACGAGGACAAGCGCTAACTTGCAACTGAAATTTTATTGTACAGCAACAAGAAGCTATCGTGCGTTGTCTACCTTTTTTTGTGCGTTAGCTGCAAAAAAAAACGTACAGTCGACTGCATACAGTATATGCAGGTGTGTTTTCAGGTAACTTGTAATTTCAACTCGCAAAGTCAAATGAACGATTAAAGATTGACTTACCAATTTATTGCAATTAATTTTCAATACATCATTTCGCAGCTTAGTGAAAGTTGCAGGTCAGTTTTTTTCATCTATTCGTATTTCCTTTCTCTCACTCAGTTGTCGGTGTAAATGTTACAACTCTGGTAATTGATTGATTGATTTGTGGGGTTTAACGTCCGAAAACCACCATTTGATTATGAGAGACGCCGTAGTGGAGGGCTCCGGAAATTTTGACCACCTGGGGTACTTTAACATGCACCCAAATCTGAGTACACGGGCCTACAACATTTCCGTCTCCATCGGAAATGCAGCCGCCACAGCCGGGATTTGATCCCGCGATGTTCGGATCAGCAGCCGAGTACCTTAGCCACTAGACCACCGTGGCGGGGCACGACACTGGTAGTTCATCTTGTGGCAAGCTCTTCACAAAACCAAGCGCAAATAAGAACACGGGACACAAAAAAAAGACCAGGACAAGCGCTTTGTGCCGTGTTCTTACTTGCACTTTGCCTTATGAAGAACGATAAACAACCAACACGCCCAAACGTTGTCCTTTTTGTTATGGCAAGCCCTGCTGACCGATGTGCTTCCAGCACGAACGCTCTAGCACAGCTGCCAAAATTGTTGTCCATGTACACACACACACACACACACACACACACACACACACACACACACACACACACACACACACACACACACACACACACACACACACACACACACACACACACACACACACACACACACACACACTGAAGTTGGGGAAATACACTGCTGCTGCATGTCGACCTGCTCATTTCTGAGAAGCTAATCGGTTTGTTTATTTCACTTTCATGCTGCAATCATTAGGTTTTACCCTTGTCATTGTTTTTTAACTAATTGGTTTTCTAAAAAAATTAACTTGTGAAATTTCCCCTCTTCATTTATGTTAGATTGGCTTGAGCGCGTTATACCTCCTGGTGGTACGGGCTACCTTCTTTTTCTTTTCAGTTATTTTCATATGTAGGGACGAAAAAAGCACACGCACACGCCCCATATTAAATGTGACAAGAAAAGAAATAGTTATAATAATTTACAATACTACCACGTTCTACCGGGTCATAACAGGCACTATGTTGAGATACGAAGAACGGTCATCACATTAACGATAAACCTATTCATTTAAACATACCGTACCATCGATGTTGCACTTCGCATATTGACAACGTTTGATAATTCAAGCTAATAATCTAACTAAACAATGACGCATATTAAAACCGAACACTATCTACATGCGTTCGGGTGCATACTATTTCAATAAGCGCTCACAAAAGATCACAACGCACACATACAAAAACCTGCGCACGCATTCTCTTCCAGATGCGCGTCGGCTCACAATAAAATGTCTTTTTTTTTTATTCCCGCGATAAGAAAAAGTAAACTGCATTACAAAAGACCTCCTTCCGCGTGACCCGGAAGCAGAACTATACGATGCTGCTCGTAACAAAAAAAAAAAAATAAAGTATTTGAAACATAATGAGCAGGTGTCAAGCTAATGGTCCTGTAATTTTGGGGACATTCACACTTCGCTGCACCAACAATTGTTCCCACAGCCACTGATCATTGTTTGATTTTATCTTTTTTTTAAGCTCTCACTCAACAGAATCACCTAGTCATTTCTTTATCGAAAGCATATACAGCGATATATTTCTCAATAGGTAAAAATAAATGCTACCGGTTGTACTATATCTTGTCAAGCGCATTGTGAAATAATAAGAAAGGAACAAAGAAAACAGTAGAGGAAAAAAACAAGATCAAATCTTGAAGCGTATTCGTTATGTGGCAAAGCCTCTCAACTGGACCAGTGCTCGCACCAGAGGTCCAGTGAAAGCGAATTCATGTCTCGTCGTGGCCGAAGTGTCATGCCAAGCGGAAAATAATCGGATTATTTTCTTCCCTGCTGGAGCGTGTTATAGGTTCCTTCGGTGGCTTATGGCGCGGATATTTGTTCCGTTGTGCTTTCGCCTTCTGTTGTTTTGTTTTTTTTTGTTTTTTTTTTGTGCAGCGCTCGTTTCGCTCTCGCTTTTACCGACCGTTTGTAGATCATGCATGCACACCTTCATCGAACTTGTCTTTCGCTATAGCCAATATTTCGAAAACACTTTGTCATGGTTAGTTTTATAGAGGCGCTATATACGGTTAAAACTGAAATGTTGATTGTCAGCCTCAGCGGGACATGGTGCTACGCGTGTTAGCGTATTACTCCACCTGTCTTTCCTTCTCTATTCTTTTGCTCCCCTTTCTATGTACAACGCGCGTCTGAAGTACATATACACCATCCAAATTTTAAAAAATTTGAGGGGAAGAAAGTATGCCAGTGCTGCGAACACGACTTGACAACTCATCGTAATCTTAAAGTATCTTCGGCATCATACGAAAAAATTATTTTCATTATAATAAAGTTTCGCATCCATCCATCCATTTCTCTATGATATTCCATCAGCAAGCAGAGTCACTTTCAATTGCGATCATGCTGCCCGATTTTCGTGGCATTGCCAAACTGCGAGAACCAGACGCTGAGCCTCCCAAATCAAGGTTGTTTGCCGAATTCTGTACCGTTCTTGAATCATTCAATCGCGATCAGCCTAGATCGTGCTCGAAAAACCTTACGGCGTGACCGGAGTGTATTTAGGACGATGAAATCACTTTAAAAGTCATTAACAAAGTAATTTTTGGCAACGGTTTGTTGACGAAATGCCACATTCATGTGGGCTTCTGATGTGAAACTGCTATGCATCGACCCAGTTAGAGACCTTTTTTTGTCCTCTATAGTTTTCCTTCCCCTCTCCCCTTCCCCAGTGCAGAGTAGCCTACCAGGGCTCAGCCCTGGTTACCCTCCTCGCCTTTCTCATTCTCTCTCTCACTTTGATCCCGAGAAAGCGGCGGCGAGTGATGTGTTTTCTTGCTGTTCTGTCCTATAAGTCACTGGGTGCCAGAAATGCAATGGCATCGCAAGCTCTGCCAATTGGCTTCTGGAATTGGGGGAAGAGCCGTGGAGCGTTCACTGATCGGGTGCCATATTTGCATTGCAAATGCACTTTTTTCTCCCCAGTAGAAACGCGACGCGCTGATACGGCGAATGGTACCGCTTCCTCGACGGCGCAGCGCGCGATTTCACTTCGATCGCGAAATGCTTTCGAAAAATGCGTCAACGAGCGAAAGCTCACATGTGTACCACTATCTCCCTCACAGACTTCAAATAGATTACTTATCCCGGACCAGTGGTTTCTCGCCATACCCTCAACACAAACCACCTACCCTATTTCGATATTTATTTGTCGTTTATTAATACGTCTCGATTTGTTCTTGAAGTAAATTTGTCCTGAAACATGCTTTGTACGCAGTTCACTGTTTACTTCAAAAGAGCATGATAGAACTTGAATGTGATAAAATGTAAGATCAATCACTGCCCCCCCCCCCCCCCCCAAAAAAAAAGCCCAGCCACGGATTGAAACATATGTGATGACGACTTGTGACTGGGTGGTACAGTATTTAGTGGGTGTCTATAGTCTTACAGTCAATTGAATTCTTCATGGCTTAATCGCATTAGCCGGTAGTGTACGGATCACGACCTTATTCTTGAGGTGCCCCAGATAGCACGGTGTATTGGGATGATGCCGCGCCCCCAGCGAGCTGCGATGGTGGGAGGGTCTTAACTAGAAAAAAATAACGCGCTCCGTGGTGCATAGGCGAGGTTAATGACGAGTGTCCTGGCCATATACTACAATGACGTATTCACAACGACTCGGAAAGCAGACAGGCTTCCCAACGCATGCCACCGATATACCATGCAAAACAAAATAATCATCTTTGTGAAAATCTTAAACGAAGGTGGGCAGCAGCCAATGAAATCGAAATATACGCCGTTTTTTTTTTTTATGCACGCGAAATTCTACAAAATGTATGGACAGAGCAAACAGCTGCTTAAGTGATCTACGAAGTCACATGTCACCTATATTCCGAAGCATGCAGAGGCTGGGTCCGAGCTGGTTGGTGCATCTACATTTTGAATCCATCTTTTACGCGCTTACCAGCTTCGAAACGTACAAAATCGCATTGCGTTTCTCACGCCAGTAGGTTGTCTAGTAAGCAAGCGAAAGCAAAAAAAAATCAGAGAAACTTAGAACATTACAACCAGTGAAACAAGCGAACGCGGTATTTTTAACGTTTGAACGCCCCTTTTGTGCACAACTGACATCATGCATCAGTTGTCGCGGACATGTGACGAATCATGGAGTGGCCAATGCAAAACATCTTTGACTAGAAGGGAGAACTCCATCTCAAACGCTTCTTTACTAACCGTTTATTGCGTGAGTGTAGTTTGGGCTAACGTGACATACGACAACCATGTCATGTTATAAGCACCTGGCCTTTCCGGTAATTCAAACGGCCATTATCACAATTGAAATGAAGGGCTGTGCCTGCCAAAGGTTTATCGCTCTGGGTGACAACGAACTTAATTATCTACCTACACCACGAGCAGAGTATTGTAAGAACAACATTCTCTTTCGTCCGTGCAGTCACAATTCTCACGACTTCATGCTTTTCACAAGTCCTTCAACATTTGTAGATATGCAACCTGAAAGATAAAAATATCATAGCCTCGTGTCAGCGAATGACCCGATTGTACTTGCTTCTTTCTTCGTCTAAGCAGCTGTGCCCCCCCCCCCCCCTCTGCAATGCACAAAACGAATGTCTGCAGTGACAGCAGGGATCATGAAAAGGAGTGCATCTGCGTGTGATAACAGCTCACCCAATCTCCTCCGGTTTTTTGATGTCCATGATGTCTTCGAGCTTGCCGCTGCCGACGACACTTTCTGTTCCAACACTGCCGTCTCACCGTCGACAATCCCGCTCTGTCCGTGGCACTTCGGAAGAAAATCTTCCGCTCGGAGCGGCGACGATGACACTGGCAGTCACCTCGGCAAAGGTTGACCGTCCGAGCGCCACGGTGTCTCGGTGGTCCTTTTCTGTCCGAGCTCGACGCTCAAAGAAACCGCGCTCCGCAAGCTGCGGCGCCAACGACTCACTCGAACGGGCCGAGTGCCGTAACGGAACACAAACACGATCCCGGAACGAGCAGGCTTCTTTACGAAGGGGGGCGGTGGTCACTAAACAACGACAGAAGTGGCACTGTGCAGTGCCCGAGATTAAACAAGTATATATAGAACTGATGGGTCGTTGCTTTGCCTCTGAAACGGGGGAGGATCTATGATGTATCTCTTTCACTCTCTCCCTCTAGGTTGATGATGCCTCCGGCCGAATCCAAGGACGTGGTTCGCAATAACAAATAATGAACGAAGGAGATGGAAAGAAACACGCTGTGGAGTAGGACGCAGCCAAGATGAGGAACACCGGGAGCGGCAAAAAAGAAAGAAGAAAAAAAAACGGGGAGGGGGAGAGCAGCCGGAAGCAGACGAAAAAGTGCTGCGGTGCAGCAGACGACGGCGGGAACGAAAAAGGGACGGCGCAGCGACGCCCAAGAAGCGAAACCGAAAAGAGCTGAGCGCCTCTAGCGACGGTAACGGCAGCTATTGGCGGTGCAAAAAAGCTACGCTCTCACGCACGACGCAAAGAACGAAATAACGGGGAAGTACAGGCATACGATCCGAGGGGGTGGCTTTGCCGTGCTGCAGCGAATACAGTCTCTGCTCGTCCTCTGGGTTGTTCTGTGCAGCTGCAGTAAACGCGCGTCTGTCAACCAATACTAAGCTAACAATCCGTGCTTGGAACAATATAACGGACCTGGGAACGACGACGAATCATTTGAGATTTGTTACCGCGGATCGGTCCCACGCACCAAACAAAGAAGGAGGTTTCCGATATTCTCTTTTCGTCGTTTACTTTGTGGTCGCTGTCGACGGAGTTTCGGATGGGTACGGGCCGAGACGAAAGGAGATGATGTGCGCCCACTGGCAACGAAGTCGAGCTCGTACCGAATCGTACCGAGACGAGGCAACCGATGCGGCGTCTCGGCGACGTTTAAGTGAAGCGGTCGGCGGTGCTGCGAGCTGTCTCCTCCGCACTTTTCCTCTCATCTTCGCCGCGGCGATGGCAAAAGATCCGAACAAGAGAAAGGGTTGCTCTTCTTGCTATTTCCGCCGCATCATTCTCTCTCATCCCTCTCTTCTCTCCCTTCGAGCACCCTCTCTCATCCGCCGCTACGGCACTGGTTTTCCCCCTTTCCGATCTCTCTACTGCTTTGGCCTCTCTCGTATTTTTTTTCTCGCTCAGCGCGTCTATCTCTTTCAGCACCTTACTTTTGCGAATCCCTTCACATTACGTCGCCATCGGTTTAGTCGTCATGTCCACTAAACGTCACACTTTCACCCAAGAACGAAATAAGAAGAAACGTTAAAACGAAGAAAGAAATGAGTACGTGCACTTGATTTGAATATTCTGCAGCGCGCCTGGACTTTACCGAAGTCGACGCCTCTCGCTTTCGTTATGGGTTGTTCCTCAAGACACTGCGGGGAAGCCGTGCATGCCAGAGAATATCTTGGATTTCCGGTGTAGGTTTCAGGTTGCCCCCTTGCTTTCACAGAAATGAATAGCAGTTTTTGTTTATTCGTGTCATTAATCTTTTGTTTTTGTGTTTGCTTGCCTCGAAAAAGATTGAAGTAGCAGTGACGCGGACATGTGTTATCCACGAGTGGGTATTCCTTCTTCTGCATGTTATGGGGAATTTTTATTACAACGTCGGACAGGCAACGCAAGCATGTCTTGTCTCCTCGCGGTCTTTCGCTGACTCAACCAGTGGCGGAAACTTTGAGAATCGGCTGTTTGTTGAAGAAAAAGAAAGTCAATGGTTAGAAACGTAGGAATACATTGAGAGAGAACAGGTATAAACGCGGTAACGCAAATAATAATAATAATAATAATAATAATAATAATAATAATAATAATAATAATAATAATAATAATAATAATAATAATAATAATAATAATAATAATAATAATAATAATAAATCAGCGGAATGATGAAAGAAAAGCTGATTTGGAAATTTTACAATCGTTTCCAAAATTAGCAAATTGCCAGTGTAATTGTCTGTGAACGTTTTTGCATTTTATTGCACATGCGCTCTTGATTTAGCCTGGATTTTTGTGCGACTGTATTTTCTTTTTACCAATAGATTGAGTTGCGAGTCAATGCCTGTATGCAAAGCTGTATGCACTTTTTTGTTATTTGGGGGGGGGGGGGTGTAGGGGGGCACTAGCTTGATCTAATGTGGAGGGTGGACAAACAAAGGGTTATTTAGCGCTATGAAGGCATGGCGAAAAAAAAATTTGGGGGCGGGGAGGGGAAGGCGCACGATTCTGGAGTGTTACCCCCTGGCTACGCCACTGCCCGTACGTCTTTATTCCTTCATATTGTCTATTATGCGCACGCTGAACACTTGACACAATGAATTCCTACCAGCTGGGGCATTTTTAAAATCAATTTACTATATTTCTGGCGGACACAAATTTGGCGTCACTGAGCCGCGCTACTGCGAAATCGCATATACCATAGCAACAACGTCTTGTTCCTTCAAGAAATAAGGAACATCCCAATAATACTTTTAGGGGCGAAGCTCCTTAAGACGTGGGTCCGTACATCCTCCAATGTTGTACGTAGCCACCAGTGGCACATACCTGCTCTAGAGCGGGTATGAGCCACAGGGGATGTGAGATGAGAGATGGCGGTACTTGGAAGTGTTCCCTAGATGGACGCTCAGACGGACGGATGGACAGACAGACAGATAGCAGACGGACGGTGTTGAGTAGCGCCGGGCCTATCCCGCCGCTGACCTCCACTGTTGAGAAACGGCGGACCGATCCCGCCGAAGCCACCACTGTTGCGAAAGACGGCGACGCCAACACGGCCCCGGAGGCGCCACTGCTTTCAACTCCGCCGGGAAGGTCACCAGCCGTTTGGTAGCGTATGTTTATCAGCTCGCGACTGCTTCTGCGCAGAGCTGATAAGACGAGCGGACGAGACGACGGTGAGTTAAACAAGGTTTATGTACAGCATATTTACAGAGGCGTTACAATTTCGGCACTGGGGCCGACAGAGACTCGAAGAGCCGAGCTCTTCTCTCTAACACATAGGTCAGTCTTTCACCTAAGACCGCTGACTCACACACATGTCGGCACTCCGACACGGGGACGCCTCTCACATAGGACCGCCGATCGCGACGCGCCGCAGGGCTTCTTTTATTTACACCGGGTCCAACCAAAATGTCCAATCAGAAGCGCCTGCTGGTCGTCAGAGCAGATTCCGCCAATGGGGGTCGCCGCGCCATGCGTCAGACCACCCGAAACGCGGCCGCCGGCTCGCTGTCACGTGCGCCGCTGACTCACTGCACATGGGCCGGAGGAGCGCCGCGCGTGTTCACGCCGTCGAGGTGATCGCGCCAGGCAGACGGCGGGCTGGCCTTGACCCAGATCGCCTTTTTCCGAGGCACGGACGTTTGACGGGGACTCGCTGGCATAACAGCACCCCCGCCGCCAGACAATGCACCGGAAAGACGAGCTGCTTCCACGGGGCTCGGATTTCAGGTGCGCTCGTTCGCCAGGTCCCTCCAGGTTCGCCTCCAGGGCCATGGGGAGACTACAGCTCCAGACTGTTCTGGGAACACATCCCATTTTGACGACGGATCCCAGCTCCACTGGCTCGTCGCCACAACTTGTTGACCAGCTTCACTCGTCTCTTCTGACCATCTTCGGTTTCAGCACTTGTCGATGGTTCTGCAACTTGCCAAGAACGGATCGACAACACACGACACACGCAAGTGCCTTCGGTCACCCGACAGAACACCAGACACAGTATAATACAACATATACCTATCTACGTGTTTATCGGAATTTTGTTCCCTCTACATCAAGAGGCACATGTGGGACAAAAGACTCTTAAAATGACAACTCAATTTTTTTTTTCCACGTACAACAACGTAACGAATTAGAATACCACATAAAGTTGGCCCCTTGAGATCACTCTGAACGAGAGCGCTCAGCCCAGGTCGTGATGAGGTCAAAATTTTGCCCCGAATCGCCAGCGAGAAACCGAAAGGTTGAGAAGTTACTAGCTGGAACGCACTGCTCAATGCACCTGCATTAGCGTTTACCTTTCCCTTTTTTTTTTTTTCTTTAGCGAACGTCAAAGTTGCGCTGTGGAGCAACATGCTCCACCTCAGTAACCGGCCACTTTTAGGCGACGATACCTATGCGGCACCAAGAGCGGCTCACACTTGCGACGTTGCACAGGGGAACAACGATACGGCTTGCTACTGATTGACTCCTCACCGCTTCGCTCGATATCGTGTTCGATCACCCTCGTGTTTCCGGGGCGGTCCGAAAACACGTCTTCAAACTCGGAACCAATCTTTCTCAGGTCCTCTTTCTCAGGTCCTCCTTCACTTAAGCTAGGCTCTAGGTTTATCTGCTCCCAAATTACTTTCGATCTCCCTTCGATCACCTCACTAGAACTCAAATTTTCTGCTTCCTCTTCCTCTGAAGCCTTCAACAGCTGATTTACGACCACTTGATGTTGAACATTCGGTTTCATCAAGTTGTAAATTTTGTTCTGCCGCCTTCCTACTTGCACCTCATAATTTGTATCGCAAGGCTTCGATAATACTTTGGCGGGCCCCTCCCAATCAACCTCAAGCTTGTTCCTTTTGGGTGGCTGCAGCAGCATTACCTGACTCCCTACTTCAAAAGCACGCTTCTTCACCGATTCCTCGTAGTGCTCCTTCGACAGCACTTTTGCCGCGTTTTTCTGGCTTTCCACGAGCGCTTCAATTTGGCTTTCCCCTAGCGCTTCAATCGAGAGATCCTCACTCTGCCCTCGAATGAGCGTCTCTCGATCAACTCTCGGCAGCTCGCTCCAACTTTCCGCTACAGGCGAGAGCGTTGCATCCCTCTCGCTCTGACTCAAAGGCGCCACGTCGTCTCCCTCAGAGCATACCGCGCCGGCCGCTCCCGCGACGGGCCGCTCGCGTGACTGCTCACATGACTCATGCGGAAAATTTCCTTTTTGGGGTTCCGTCGACCCGCCGACAAGGTCACTTGAGAGTTCACCGCATGGAACCAAGTCCAGCTTCCGCGAAAGCTTTCGCGCTTGCGATCGCGTGAGAGCCATGCACGCTAAGTTGGGGAAGAACGATTTGCCCTGCTCTTTGAGAAGCTGCTCTGAGTTGTTGGAGAAGAGATAAGGAAAACGATCGGGAAGCGCGGCAGACACAGCCGCTTCAGTGCGAAGCTTACCGAACGGGCCTTCAATGACAACCGTGGCGATTGGTAAGCAAGCACTCTGCTCCTCGGCGACTTGCCTGATCCACGCGCATTCTCCTGTAAAGTCGTCCGGAGACACCAATGAAGGATGGACAACATCCATGGTTGCCGCGGAGTCTCTAAGTGCTCGGCACGTTTTCTCATTGACCCTAATTTCTTGGAGATACGGCTCCAACAACCGCATGTTTTTTTCTGATTCTCGGATCGTTGCGAAGGCAAACTTTTCCTGACAGTTTCTCGCGATGTGTCCTTCCTTTTTGCAGTTGTAGCAGATTAGCGGCTTCCGTTTGTTTTCCGATTCTAATGCCTGTGTGGTAGAAACCTCACTCGATTTCTCCGCTTCTGTTTGCCCTTCCCCTACACTGTCCTTCGTAAGAGACGGGTCCTTCTTGAAACTACGGTGCGGAGCGGGTCTCCGTTGATCAGGTTTCTTTGAAAAGCCCTCTTTTCTCTCATCCTTTTCAACGCGCACTACCCTGCTATGCAACTTTCGGCGAGTATAATACTCCTCAGCTAACTCAGCTGCCTTGTTTAACTGTACTTCCCCAAGTCTGTCCTGCAGCCAAAGTCTGACATTATCCTCGATGCAGCGGTAGAATTGCTCCAATGCAACGCATTCCACCACTTTATCGCGATCATCATAAACACCTTCGCCCTTGAGCCATTCAATTAAATCGGCTTTAAGACGAAACGCGAAGTCAACGTGT